AAAAAAAAAAAAAAAAAACCAATGACAATTGCAGCAAAAAATAGCCAGGCATTGTGGCAGGCACCTGTAGTCCCAGCTAATTGGGAGGCTGAGGCAAGAGAATCGCCTAAGCCCAAGAGCTGGAGGTTGCTGTGAGCTGTGATGCCATGGCCACTCTACCCAGGGGTGACAAAGTAAGATTCTGTTTCTAAAAAAAAGAGAGAATTTGTTTTGGAAAGGAATATTGTTACAGTTTTTGTTTTTTGCTTTGTGCTCTTATTGTTTTTATGTAATTTCAATTTTCACTTATTTGTACTTGAAGTCTTCCAATTTCTTTTTTATTTGTCATGTTTAGTTCTGAGAGAATGACTGGTCCTTATTTACTGTGCCTCTGTTGCCGCCATATTTGCTATTTTTGTGTGGATATTGATAATGGTAGTTCTTAGGACACAGAGGTGCTGATGATCCAGCTTGGGGCATTGAATCATCTGAAAAATGATTCGTGAGGTCTGAATAAAATTGACAAGAGTATTTTAAGCCCAAGAATCAAAGATATAAATATTTTGTGTCAATGGTCTATATTAAATGTAGGCTGAATGTGTGAACCTGGATATTTAAGAATTTGTTTTCTATCCTATCAAGCATATTTCTTATAAGTATTGTTTAAAAAAGGATCTTTGGGCTCGGTGCCTGTGGTTCAAGTGGCTAAGGCGCCAGCCACATACATCTGAGCTGGCGGGTTTGAATCTAGCCCGGGCCGACAAACAACAATGACGGCTGCAGCCAAAAAATAGCCGGACGCTGTGGCGGGCGCCTGTGGTCCCAGCTGCTTGGGAGGCCAAGGTGGGAGACTATCTTGAGTCCAGGATTTGGAGGTTGCTGTGAGCTGTGATGCCACGGCACTCTACCCAGGGCGACAGCTTGAGGCTCTGTCTCAAAAAACAAACAAACAAACAAACAAAAAAGGATCTTTGTGGAATGAAGTCATGCGTCAGAGAGGAAAGCCAGTCTATAAACAGAGACTATTATCACCTCATATTGGAAAGGAGAAACTCATATTTACAGATCATAGCTGTTTGGGTCAAATATGGGTTTTTTTCCCTTTTCTTTCTTACTTATGTTTACAAATACACGTATATACAAAGAAGGGTAGTTATGGAACATGAATTTAATTTTTAGGAAGCCAGTATGGCAGAACTTCTCTCACCTCCCCACTCCACATATATACATCTGCCTTTACCCATAGCATTGTCTGATTTAGTTTTCTTGAAACCAATGTATCCTGTTTACACTTTAGGCCATTGCAGCAAAGGTTGGCATGGACAGCACAACGGTGAATTACTTTGCCTTATTTGAAGTGATCAATCATTCCTTTGGTAAGTGCCAGTGGCTAATGCTAAGTTTTGCTTGGAGATATTTTATTCTAATGCTGTCAGTCTAAAACTATTTGTCTGTCAAAGTCCTTGAAGACAAAGGGAGATCCCCCTCATTAGGTCTGAGTCTATAGCAGACCAGCCAAGCCCCAGTCAGCCCAGGTCATGAAGCTGTCTGGCCACTGTTGGTCTTTCCTGTACTGTGGGTATAGGTTATACCTGGTACTGAAGCAGGTATTTTCATGAGGTTCTTTTAAATTAGAGACTCAAAATTCATATATTCCAATGACATAGCCTTAAAAAGAGATATTTTATTGAGTCACATGTTCTTTCAGTGTACTTTATGCTTTTTGTAAAGATTTTTAGAATAGCTTTTTGTTTTCAGAAGCTAAACATACATACTGCTTAAAAATCATTGTAAGTTTCTGTGTAAACAGATATTCTCTTCCTAGGAAATTTTATTACATAGTGACAAGAAGTTCTCTTGTCACCATATATTTATAAAAGCTGGGGATGATGGTCACATTGGTTGCATTGAGACCACAAAGGGGAGGGTGAGTGAGGGCTTGCTCTGAATGACATCAGTTTCCTACAGTTGGTGGGTCTCTTCCACGTCGTATTTTTTTTTGCAGTTTTTGGCCAGGGCTGGGTTTGAACTCGCCACCTCTGGAATGTGGGGCTGGCGCCCTACTCCTTTGAGCCACAGGTGCCACCCCACATCATATATTATTATAAAAGGCAAAGTCCAGAAATGACATAGATATAATATTTATGGATCAGACCTTCTTCATCCCAAAATGGGGGAGGGTTTGGTAGATTTGGGGTCAAGGTAGAAAATACTGGCTCGGCGCCTGTGGCTCAAGTGGCTAAGGTGCCAGCCACATACACCTAAGGTGGCAGGTTCGAATCCCCAGCCCGGGCCCGCCAAGCAACAATGATGGCTGCAACCAAAAAATGGCCAGCGCTGTGGCGGGCGCCTGTGGTCCCAGCTACTTGGGAGGCTGAGGCAGGAGACTCGCTTGAGCCCAGGAGTTGGAGGTTGCTGTGAGCTGTGAGGCCATGGCACTCTACCCAGGGGGATAGCTTGAGGCTCCATCTCAAAAAAAACAAAAAAAAAAAGGTAGAAAATACTTTGATTACCCCAAAGCAGCCACCTCATTATTATTTTTCTTCCCAAATCCCAACATCCTGACTAATAAACAAAAACCAAATTGGATTGGTAGGATACCAAGACACTTGGATTCTAATCCTTTTCTAAGCCTATTAGATTTTCTATAAGATGAGAAATATTAAGTGTGTCTCTGAAGTGTTAAAAAGCTAAGTGGAGGGGCAGTGCCTGTGGCACAAGGAGTAGGGCACCAGCCCCATATACCAGAGGTAGCAGGTTCAAACCCAGCCTCCAGCCAAAAACTGCAAAAAAAAAAAAAAAAAAAAAAAAAAAAAGGCTAAGTGGAAAGCCAAGCGGGGTGACTTATCCCTGTAATCCTAGCACTTTGGAGGCAAAGTAGGTGGATTGCTTGAGTTTAGGAGGTTGACACCAGCCTGAACAAGAGAAGAGCGAGACCCTGTCTTTACTAAAAATAGAAAAACTAGTTGGGTGTTGTGGTATATGCCCGTAGTCTCAGCCAGACAGGAGGCTGAGGCAAGAGGATTGCTCAAGCCCTAGAGTTTGCTATGAGCTATGATGCCATCACACTTTACCCAGGGTCACAGAGTGAGATTCAGCCTCAAAGAGAAAGAGAGAGAAAGAAAGAAAAGCCTGAGTGAACATTAAGAAAGTAAAACTCAACCTTTCCAAAGAAAGTTAATATAGAAATTAAATGTGATGGTGTTTTGTTCTGATTGTGCAGCTGTTAGGAAGAGGAAGTGTTGCTCAGAAGACAATTTTCACTTTGAGGAATGTCTCGAGGTTTTAGGATGTGGTGGGAAGAGCCTTTCAGCTCTTAACAATAAAAGCAGTTCATTGAGAATGCCTCGAGAGACTCTGAATGGCAGTAGCTGGGTAAGAGGTGAGAGGCTTGCTCTAAAGATGTTTAGTGAGTTGCTTCAGCATCCTGGTGCTGCTGTACTGTGGAGCCTGTGCGATCCATTAGCCAAGATGCCTGAGGAAACCCAGACCCAAGACCAACTGGTAGAGGAGGAGGAGGTTGAGATGTTTGCCTTTCAAGCAGAAATTGCCCAGTTGATGTCATTGATCATCAATACTTTCTACTTGAACAAAGAGATCTTTCTGAGAGAGCTCATTTCAAACTCTTCAGATGCTTTGGACAAAATCAGATATGAAAGTTTGACAGATCCCAGTAAACTAAACTCTAGGAAAGAGTTGCACATTAATCTCATACCAAACAAACAAGATCGAACCCTTACTATTGTGGATACTGGCATTGGAATGACCAAGGCTGACTTGATCAGTAACCTTGGTACTATGGCCACTTCTGGAACCAAAGCATTCATGGAAGCGCTGCAGGCTGGTGCAGGTATATCTATGATTGGCCAGTTTGGTGTTGGTTTTTATTCTGCATATTTGGTTGCCAAGAAAGTAACTGTGATCACCAAACACAACGATGATGAGCAGTATGCCTGGGAGTCCTCTGCAGGAGGATCATTCGCAGTGAGGACCGACACTGGTGAACCTATGGGTCATGGAACAAAGGTTATTCTCCATCTAAAAGAAGACCAAACTGAGTACTTGGAAGAAAGAAGAAGAAAGGAGACTGTGAAGAAACATTCTCAGTTCATTGGCTATCCCATTACTCTCTTTGTGGAGAAAGAACGTGGTAAAGAAGTCAGTGATGATGAGGTGGAAGAAAAGGAAGACCAGGAGGAGAAAGAAAACGGAGAAAAGGAGTCTGATGACAAATCTGAAATAGAAGATGTTGGTTCTGATGAAGAAGAGGAGAAGAGAGATGGTGGCAAGAAGAAGAAGATTAAGGACAAATACATTGATCACGAAGAGCTCAACAAAACAAAGCCTATTTGGACCAGAAATCCTGATGATATAACTAATGAGGAGTATGGAGAATTCTGCAAGAGCTTGGCCAGTGACTGGGAAGATCACTTGGCAGTGAAGCACTTTTCAGTAGACAGACAGTTAGAATTCAGAGCTCTGCTTTTTGTCCCAAGATGTGCTCCTTTTGACCTATTTGAAAACAGAAAGAAAAAGAACAACATTAAGTTGTATGTCCGCAGAGTTTTTATCATGGATAACTGTGAGGAGCTAATCCCTGAATATTTGAATTTTATTACAGGAGTGGTGGACTCTGAGGATCTCCCTCTAAATATTTCCGATGAGATGTTGCAGCAAAGCAAAATTTTGAAAGTTATCAGAAAGAATTTGGTCAAAAGTGCTTAGAGCTCTTTACTGAACTGGCAGAAGATAAGGAGAACTACAAAAGTCTTATGAGCAATTCTCTAAAAACACAAAGCTTGGAATACGTAAAGATTCTCAAAATCGGAAGAAGCTTTCAGAGCTATTGTGATACTACACTTCTGCTTCAGGTGATGAGATGGTTTCTCTGAAGGACTACTGCACCAGAGTGAAGGAAAACCAGAAACATATCTACTGTATCACAGGTGAGACCAAGGACCAGGTAGCTAACTCAGCCTTCATGGAACGTCTTCAGAATCATGGCTTAGAAGTGACATATATGATCGAGCCGATTGATGAGTACTGTGTCCGACAGCTGAAAGAATTTGAGGGGAAAACTTTGTGTCAGTCATCAAACAGGGCTTGGAACTTCCAGAAGATGAAGAGGAGAAAAAGAAACAGGAAGAGAAGAAAACAAAGTTTGAAAACCTCTGCAAAATCATGAAAGATATCTTGGAGAAAAAAGTTGAAAAGGTGGTTGTGTCAACCGATTGGTGACATCCCCGTGCTGTATTGTCCAATATGGTTGGTCAGCAAACATGGAAAGAATCATGAAAGCTCAAGCCCTGAGAGACAACTCAACAATGGGTTACATGGCAGCAAAGAAACACTTGGAGATAAATCCTGACCATTCCATCATCGAGACCTTCAGGCAAAAGGCAGAGGCTGACAAGAACGACAAGTCAGTGAAGGATCTGGTCGTCTTGCTCTACGAAACTGCTGTCTTCTGGCTTCAGTCTGGAAGATCCCCAGACACATGCTAACAGGATCTACATGATGATCAAACTTAGTCTGGGTATTGATGAAGATGACCCTACTGCTGACGATACCAGTGCTGCTGTAACTGAAGAGATGCCACCTCTTGGAGGAGATGATGACACATCACGCGTGGAAGAAGCAGATTAAGCTTTCCCTGACAGATTACTTGCATACATGTTCAATACTTCATTCCCTCTGATAATACATTTTCAAGTGTTTTTTTTTTTGTTTTTAACGTTTAAAAATTCTATATGGCATGATATGCTTTTTTTTTTTTTTGAGACAGAGCCTCAAGCTATCCCCCTGGGTAGAGTGCCGTGGCATCACAGCTCATAGCAACCTCCAACTCCTGGGCTCAAGCGAGTCTCCTGCCTCAGCCTCCCAAGTAGCTGGGACCACAGGCACCCGCCACAACGCCTGGCCATTTTTTGGTTGCAGCCGTCATTGTTGTTTGGCGGGTCCGGGCTGGGGATTCGAACCCGCCACCTTAGGTGTATGTGGCTGGCGCCTTAGCCGCTTGAGCCACAGGCGCCGAGCCGGCATGATATACTTTAAAGGAAAGATAAGATTTCTTTCTACATCTAAAAAAATAAATAAATAAAGATGTTTTATGGACATTGTCAGTAACTTACTAGCTAATGGGTCAGATATTTTAACTGAGTTTGGAGTTTGTACTGTCTGCATAGTAATCATGTTAACTAAAGGATCTGTGTCTTAGTCTGTTTTGTAGGGCTACAAAGGAATTCTGAGGCTGAGTGATTTCTAAAGAAAAAAGATTTATTTGGCTCATGATTTCTGCTGTCCAGAAGGTGCAAGATTGGGCATCTTAGTGGGGGCCTGAAGCTGCTTACATTGATGGCATGTGCAGAGGTCCCAGGCTCTTTAATACCCAGTTCTCCTAAAAACTAATAGAGTGAGAGCTTACTCACGCCCTCCCCAGGAGGGCATTAATCTAGTTATGAGGGAGTCTTCCTATATGACCAAATAGGCCCCACCTCCAACTTTCAGGAATCAGATTTCAGCATGAGACTTGAAGGGGACAAATATCCAGACCATAGCAACCTGCCATTCAAGTGAGAGGTTTCAGTCCCCTGGAGACTTGACTGGCCATAGTTGTAGATAGAAGGGTTAGGTCTAGCTAGACAGGTGGTTGTTTTATGCTTCCAGGGCCAGGGTCATAGGTGGACTGGAGCCTGATGCTCTGGTTAATGACAACCTATGGTTCTCCATCTGTCTTACATAGTTATACTAGGAAAAGTTCTTATGTATCCTTTTACTTCACTTTTCTTTGTTTTGTCTTTTCTTCAGTACGTAAGCTGGCTCCTAATGAATTTCCTCATAAACTCTACGTCCAGAATTATACATCCGCTGTGCCAGGCACTTGCTTGACCATTCGAAAGTGGCTTTTTACAACAGAGGAAGAAATTCTCTTAAATGACAACGACCTTGCTGTTACCTACTTCTTTCATCAGGTGGGTGAATCCATCTCCATGAAAGACCTGATTCTTTTTCTGTTTGAATATAATGGGTAATTTGCCAATTCAGTGTTAATTCTTGTATAAACAGCTTTGTTCCCAGGTCTGAGTTACATTTGTAAAATGTTCTGTCCCATTTCACAAAAGGTAAATAAACTTTAGAAGTAAAGATATCCTGGAGTTTTAAAAATAGTCTAATGTTTTTAAATAACAGAAAATGAGCATTGTGGCTATGTGCCTGCTCAAAACTTTTTATCACTATTATACATGCTTTATTTAATTTAAATTTAAATTTGATGACAGGGTCACCCTCTTGTCACCTATGCAGCCCTGAACCAATGCTCCTGCCTCAGCCTCTACAATAGCTGGGATTATAGGTGCTCACCACCACACTTGGCTAATTTTTAAATGTTTTTGTAGAGATAGAGTCTCCTTATGTTGCCCAGGCTAGTGTTGAGCTCCTGGCCTCAAGTAGACTTCTGCCTTTGGCTCCCAGGGTGCTGGGATTACAAGTGTAAGCTGCTGTACTCAGCCTTACACAAATAGTTTAAACTTTAAAAGCATCAAATAGTTCAACACAACTGATTATGTAGCTGCCTCATTTACCGTCGTCTCCCTCATAGGCACTTTCACCTCTTTCAGCTTTGTTTTTTGTTGTATTTTGTTTAGTTTGGAGTTCACTTTCTTTTCTTTTTTTGAGACAGAGTCTCACTTTGTTGCGCTTGCCCTTGGTAGAGTGCTGTGGCATCATAGCTCACAGCAACCTCAAACTCTTGGGCTCAAGAGATTCTTTTGCCTCAGCCTCTCTGGTAACTGGGACTACAGGTGCCCACTACAACATCTGGCTATTTTTAGAGACCGGGTCTTGTTTTTGCTCTAGCTGGTCTTGGACTCCTGAGCTCAGGCAATCCACCTGCCTCAGCCTCCTAGAGTACTAGGATTATAGGGGTGAGCCGCCACCCCTGGCCCTTGGTGTTTACTTTCATTATTCAGATTAATTTCCCACTATTTAAGATGAGATACTAGCTATCTTTCCTCCCCCATTCTCACCACATACTCATACTGTTTTTCAATCTCTTCCATCCCCTTAACATAATTAAATTATACTATGGTCAGTATTCAGTGTTTATATTATTATGACTATAAAAAATAAAACTGACAGCAGAGGCTCGGCGCCTATAGCTCAACCGGCTAAGGCGCCAGCCACGTACACCTAAGGTGGCGGGTTCGAATCCCCAGCCCGGACCCCTGAGGAAAGGATATCCTTCCGGAACCCTCCTCT